AAGTACTACAGCAAGAATAAGTTAAGTGATATAGCCATGAGGTTACATAATGCCCAGATAAGGAGATAATCTGACAAGAAATGTCAATAACATAAGGTACCCAAATTAGAAAAATTATCATAAAAGGCAATAGATAAGAAGACAGAACCTATAAAGGCCATTGTTGATAGGAAACTGCAAACTTGAGTAAAGGGGTCCCACACCATGGGGCCAGAGGCCCAGGTTATCACAATAGTGATAAACTTGTTAATAATGTAGTATAGTGAGGCTAGAGAACACTACTAGTGATGTATGTAGCAACTAAATATATAAACTTGCAGGTACCAAACATTAAAGTTAATAAAAAAATTAGAGTGCCACATGTGCCTTATAATGTAAAGCATTGGGAATAGTTAAAAAAAAAATAAGTAACTTTTTTTTTAGAAAATATGTGTTTGTCATCAATAGTAACAGTCATGAACATGTGATCGATTAATTAAATTGTGTAATATAAAAATTAAAACAACATTAAAGCTAGAGTTAAAGATGCAATTAGAGTTTAAATAAGGTTTAGTATATTGTAAAATTGTATAAAAAATTTTTTTTGTTAGAACACAAAAGATAGTTTTATAGGTATAATTTTAAGTTATTGTAATTTTTTAAAAACTTGTAATTTTTTCTTTGTTTTATATTACATCAGATCTTGCAATCTGATTAGTATAGTATTATTGTTACTAGTAACAAATAGATTTACTTTTTTTTTATTATATTTTTTTATATAATAATTATAGTTAAAATTTTACAGATCTAAATTAAGATTATATCAAAATACTTGCATAATAGTCTAAAAAAAACTTAATTATGATTACTTAATTTAGAAATATATTAAAAATTTTGAATTTTTATTTTTTTTTAAAAATAATTAACCAATTTTAAAATTTTTTAAACAATATATAATTAAAAATTAATTTAATTTTTTTTTATAAATATATTATACTAGAAAATAGAAATCGTTATAAGTCTGAAGCAAAATTATATGAGATTTGTTGTGTTACATGAATATGCAAATGGAGACAGACAGAAAATTCAAAGTTACGTTTTTGATATTTTTATTATTGATGCATCAATAATAATACTTTTAGTGTATCAAAAATATAACTTTTGTATCACTTTGCATAAAAATTGAGCATCCTCTGCTATGCTCTGGACAATAAATCTTCAAATATTAAATATATTTATTTAATTACAAATTAATATATAAATTTTGTATAAAATAGTTTAAATTACAGATAAATTAGTCTGAGCTTCTATTTCTTTTTATAATATTTTAAAAACAGAATTGTACTTTATATAAAATCCCAATTAAATATTCAATAAAGATAAAGATATGGCTCTACTATTAATATTAAAAAAAAATTTTTTTTGTATAATTATATTTTAATTTAAATGTATTAAGTTAGTATATCATGCTTAATTAAATAACTAATACAATAAAATAAACAAAATAAAACTATAAAATTTGTTTTTAAATATAGTAAAATTTGATAATATTATTTTGTTTAAGTTATTAGTAAAATAAAAATTTAATTATATATAAGACCTTTATCTTAAAAATCATCTTTCAACTACAAATAAAACTAAAATTATTTTGAAGTCTAAAACCTAAAATTAAAATTAAAACTAAAATTGTTTTAACTTACATTTATTTAAAAAATAAAATTTTTTAATATTTTTTTAAAAAAGATTTTGTTAAAATTAGCCTGGTTAATTTTATTAAATATTAGTCTATACTATTAACATGTAATTTATAAATATATTACTACTGATAATCATTACTAGTTACTAAAATTTAGGGTTAGAGTGCAGTTATAAGAATTTTTTTTATATAATATAATATAGATTAGATATAAGGTCTTAATTTTAATTATTGTGAGGTTTTTAGAAATTCTGAACATTTTTACTTAGAATACCTAATTCTGTTTACTTAGTAAGTTTTTAAGATATAGCATAGACTAATATTTAATCAAATCAGCCAAACTAGTGATTAAAAATTCTCTTTTTTAAATATATAAAATTATAAAAAATATAGATATATAAATTTTATTTGTCCTTATAAAAATTTTAATTTGCTTTAAATAAAAACAAAATAAATTCTTTTTTAGAAATCAATTTTAATAATATAAATACTTTTAATATTTTTGAGCAAAATAATAATTTAAACAAAAATAAATTCAATATCAGTTATATAAATATGCATATCATCTTTTGTTTTTGTAATCTAATAGTTTATTTAATAAACTATTAAATTAATAAAGATAAAAATAATTTGCAAATAAACATAAATCAGTATTAAAAATTGTTTTTGGTTAAATTATTCTGATAAAAAATATCAAAAGATAATTTTAAAGCAAAAATCATATACATAAAAAAACATAAATTTTTTAAAAACATATTAGATAAAAATTTTTTATAAAAAAGTTACCAACTATTTTAATATCATTATAAAAATGCTTAAAGCCAAAGAAATACAAATTAAAATAAAATTTACAACCTTAGACCTTAGCATAAAAAAAGAAAATAAATAAAAAATCATATCAAAATTTCAAAATATTAACCAATCAAATTTTAGTATTTTGCCTCAAATTTGATCACTTTTAAAAAAGTTGTAGGTTTAAAAATTCTCGCACTGTAGTTGCAACCAATATCAATTTTTCATAAAATGTTTCTTTGAATAATACAAGAATTATTTATAAGAATGTATTATAATAAAAAATTATTACTAATGCTAGAAGTGGAAAAAGCGTAAAAAAATATATTGAATATATACCATGACTATTTATATTCTGTTTTGGACATAATCACGCGCGTATCTCAAAATGACATATTCACTAGGAAAATACGTGTCTGCATGCATGTTTTTGTTGCACTAATTTACAAATCTGAACACGCGATGATTCATCAGGAACGGTATTTCTGCGTCTGATCTTGATGGAGTTAAAAAAAAAAAAAGAAGTGTACTGTTCTTGATAAATGAACCTTAATCCTAACTTTTCATATATTTCGCTATAATAGTATAGTATTTTAGAGGCCCTTTTTAGACCTCTATCAGGAACGGTATGTAAATCAAATATTGTTTCTTACCTATCAGGAACAGTACCGACGATCCATCAGGAACGGTATTCTTGCCATGCTTTAACGTCCCCCAAAAGTAACTATTTTCGGTCAACATACATCAAAAACGTAACTCTATATCACCTTGCGTAGACTCTAAAAGGTGACTTTGTCATGTCACGAAATATTGTCGGTCCTGTGATTTACAAGACACTCTGACTATATTTTTATATTGGATTCTTAATTGGTATTATTCAGGCATTTGAAAAAGTTCTTACGAGTTTTTTTCACATGTCCCGAATAAGTGTAAAATACAGAGTGGCTTGTAGATCACAGACCTACAAAGCTCGTAAATTAAGTGAGAAATTAGTGTAAAAAAATTACTTTTATTAGCATGAAAGATTTTTTTTTGCTGTCAATCATGTGATACGCAAATTTTTTTTATAATCAGCATAATCGATACACCATACTATTAACCATCCTCATGCTCAAACATTCAAATTGCATCCTTTTTTTACCATACGGAATTTCAATATCCATAATAAAACAATAGTCTGTAATAATCAATGTGATTCGTATAACATTTTCGTGAACCTATATCTAATAATATTCTCACTTCTTTTGTAGTAAATTTAGGAAATTGATATTTCCACACCCTTTTTTAATATCGTTATATCGTTATTGTTAATATTGTTAATAAAAATCAATATAAATTATTAGGGTTTGGTCGGGTTTAGAGTTAACAGGGGTTTGGAAATATAAAAAAGGGTGTGGAAATGTCAATTCCCTAAATTTACAATCCAAATTTTCATTCAATAAACGGGTAATCTCTAGACAAAATTACAAGATAACTATTACTTAGTATATTTTCTGTCTGGCCAATATGAGTGCCACCAAATTAAAACCAGGAAGATCTTATAATAGTAATTATATTTAGACTCCTGGTTTTCACTAGAGGTTCAAATGGGCTCTATCGATGAATCTGGTACAAGCCGTTTTCATTTCTTGATGGTCACGGTACTGGTCACGAGAATCGTACCCATGCGATCGTCCAAAATTTTAATCTAACGATAACGATAACGATAACACCCGGCCAAAATTTATTGGAGTAAAGGGTAATACAAAATGTGATCGCTAATACTATTACAGGTTAGTGAAACAGTTTTATATAGGTTAGGTAATCAGTGACATCTAAGCCCTAAAAAAAATGGAACAACCATGTAGAGTTTGTACTGCATTCAAAGATTGGACAAAGCAAGAAAAAAAAAAACAGCGTGTTTCTAACATCCACACAAATGATAATATTAATGAAACAAAATACACCAAAGATGATGCTAACTCTTCTACTCCAACGTTACCTCCAGATTGTCCACCTGATGTGGAACAACTTGGTCGATCTACTTGGACATTCTTGCATACAATGGCTGCTTATTATCCAGAAGTCCCATCCTACGCACAACAGCGTTCAATGAAAACTTTTTTATCCACTTTTTCAGAATTTTATCCTTGTAATTTTTGTGCCGAACATTTAAGAGAAGAAATGAAATCAAAGCCTCCAAAAGTTGAGAGCCGTTGGGCATTAGGAAAATGGTTATGTGAAATGCATAACATAGTGAATGAAAAATTAGGTAAAAATATTTTTGATTGTAGTAAAATTGATGAAAGATGGAAAGATGGTCCAAAAGATGGTCGATGTGATTAGTTCATATTTTCAAGTTTCAGTTTGCTATGAGATTAGAAAATTTGCAATTACAAGTTATGCATATACAACGTTTGCGCAATATTCATCCTTGTCAGTAATATAAATATTTCTTCTTGTGTTTTCAATCTTTTCATATTACACAACACATGATACAAAATATTCGTGTTAAAACAATGGTTTTATAAATAAATGCATATAATGATTATCCTTAAGAAGAAGTTCCTGCGAGTTTTTTTTCCAACTCCAAAAATGCTTTCATTCCAGGATCAATATCATCCTCTTTTGTATTATCATTAGATTGCAGTAGAATTGGTGGTAATGGTTTGCCCTCTTGTAATAATCGTTCTCTTATTCGATTTGTCTTTTCTTTCCATTCATTTAAGTCATCCTGATATATGTCTAAAACACTTAATCATAACAGTAAAATATGATTATGTTTGCATTTGAATAAGGCCATACGAACTTAATAAATTGGTTCTCTTAACATAAATATTTTTAAAAATGACCCGGCAACTCGGCTTTTAACTTTATTTTCAAAAAATTATATATATAAAATACATATAAAATTTTTTATAGTTTTTTTTTCTTCAAGTTTTGTAGAATTTGACCCGGCCAGTTATGAGAACCAATTTATTAAGTTTTTATGGTCTAAGTAAAAATTTTAGTATTTCTTAAATATAGCATACCAATGAGCGCAACCGCTAATGATTATCAATTCGAGACGTTATCAAATGATATATTAGCAAAGTGAGTTTATAAGAACACTATTTCTAATATTATTACCTCATGCAACAATTATCAGGAAAAACAGGTTTTGGAGGTATCAATTCTCCATCAATTGTTATTACCGGTTTGATTTCTTCTGGTGAATTTGTATTTATTGCTGTTGATGCTATATCGGTATGATGATGTTCTTCGTACGAAGGATCTTGCAAATATGATGAGGGTGCAGGCTATACAGTGTGTAATACTGTATTATCATCAAATAAATTTATGTTAAACGATAAACATTCTTTTATTTAAAAAAAGTTTTCCAACCTGTTGCAATTGTAAATTCCAATAGCCATTATATTTAGATTGGCCGTTTTCGCTTTGTTGAGAATATTTGAATTGTTGATGATGCAAAAATGCTGAATACAAGTGGTATTTTTTGTGAATGCTGAAAGTTGACCTATTTGTTAATCCAAACATTTTAAAGTTATATAATTCACTTACGTAGTGCTATTTATATATATTAGAATGCTCGTGTAACCTGTTAATTTCGTAATCAATTTTAAGGCATTCCTTCAACATACAATCAACAAATAAGTTATTAAGGCAGGAGAGTTATTTTATCTCATACTTTATAAATTAATCTTAGGTCCTAATATATAATCAACCGAAGAAAAAAAAACCTATATTGAAATAGTGAGGTTGAGATGTTGAAAATGTACAAATTAAGTTGTTTAAATGATGTTTTATATCGGATAGATTCTTAAAATTAAAAATATTATGCCAGAGTAAATAATTTAATAAATTTGTTAGCATAAATCCACTTTATCAAAAAAAAAACAATCAGCTATTTACCTATTTGGTGTTAAATAATAATCAGCTCAAATCAGTGTCGACATTTGGATATACGTAGTTCGAATGCTATATATCCAATTACTATATTAAAATATATATTTTCGAAATTCTAATATCTCGATCTAAATCGATGTAAGAATCTTAAAAAAATAGTCCAGAGACTGTTTTCAAGCATATCTCTCGATGTAGCGCAATTATCTTAATTGAAATTATTGTGCCGATTTTTAGCAATTTTGTCAAATTTATTGTACAAAATGTGGATTTTAAACTTTCAACTAATCAAATTAATATTAAAAAGAAGGTGTCAAATTTAAGTTTTTAATTTAAGTAATTTAATTTAAATGAGGTTAACTTTGTTTAATTTTGTTAAAGAATTTAATAAAATTTGAGTTATCTAAATTAGATTGCAAAGTTATTAATTTTTAATCTGTTACTAGAAAAATTTGCTTAAAAATATTGGTGTTTTTTTTTTGTATTAAGGTGATCTCTTTGGTCTTTTGAATTTATTACCATTTTTTTAGATAACAATGTTCACATAAAACTACCACAGAATGAGAGTACAACTGGTTATACATGCAACTTTTCTATATTACTTATTTAAAAAGTTCATTCAAAGGTTTTTTACCAATTATCATACCTAACACTTCTGTTTGGGTGTTTTACTTTAAACACTCCATTTCTGCATTTCTAGTATTAACTTTATCAAATCATATAGTATTTATTCTTCTATGTTTAGATTCTTGTCTTAATCTTAAGAATTAATTTATTCTTGAAAAATACCTATTAAAGTTCTTCTATAATTTATTCTATAGGTCATATTATTATTTCTGATATTTTATATTTTATAAAATAAATTAAAAAACTTATTAATAATATTAAATTTAATAACTGTTATTTTAAACTATACTTTTAGAATTATATATGCTATAAGATTAAGGTTTAAAAATAAATTTATTATATTTTAATTAAGTATTTTTTCTTTTAAATTTTTTTTTTAAGCAGTCATGTTAGTACTTTATTAAGATTTTGAAATTACATTTGTAATTATATAAATATTCTTAACTATTCTTAACAACTAAGTTCAGTATTATTCAGCTATTCTAATAGTATCTAAGTGTAACCTGTTATATTACTTCAAGCAGAAGTAAGTTGTTTATCTGACTACTTAAAGTTTATAATGAAAGATTCTTCTCTTTTCTATAATAAGTTCTAAAACTGTTTTCTGTTTTTTTTTAATTTGTTTTTCTTTTTCTCTTGATTTTTCTTTTTTTTTCCTATTTTTTTACTGATTTGATTTTTTTTTTTATTTGGTGTTTTCTTTTTTTTTTCTCTTTCTCTTTTTATTCTATCTGTTATCTCTACTTTTTTCTTTTATTTATTAATTTTTTTATATCAAATTTTCTATACTTGTTCATAGAATGTATCTTAAACCATTTTTGTTATTATGTTTATAAATTGCTATTTTGATTTTATAGTTAAAAGCTACTTTAATCTGTTCTGTATTTCTTTTGAAATAAGGTCTTTTATTAATGCCTCTCTTATTTTACTTCTTTTACTTCTGTTTTTCTAAAAAGCACTATATATAATACATATATAGTAATTCAAACTTTTTTTTCTTCTTTTAGACTTTTTTAGACTGTTGTAATAATTATTTTTTAAATTCTTTTTTAAAGATTTCTTTGTTCCTTACATGCTACCAAATATGTTTGTGTTTCTTTTATTTATTTTAATATACTTAATACATATTCTGTTGTTGTATATACATTAACCTTTTTCTATTAAGTTCTTCTAAGATTAAAAGTTTATCTATTATGCATTTTATAAGTGCATTTTTTTTGATACTACTTCTTCTTGTTGTGTAATATATTTTTTTAGTTATTTTTAGTTTTTTTCAAAAATATATCTAAACATAAATCATAATTTCTGTTTTTGGTTTTAAGTCTCTAATTGTTTTTATTTTTTTTACTCTGCTCTTAATCTTGTATTTGTTATTAACTTATAAAGCAATTTTGCTGATATGTCAATATATTTGTTTTCTCATTCTAGACATTTTTTATTTCTTTGTAACTGATTTCTTTGGCCTATATTATCTTTTTATTTGGTACATCTTTTTTTGTTAAGCTATTAGCTTTAATATTTTATCTATTTTTACTATAGCTTTTAATCTTAAAAAACTTTATCTGAATGTTTTTTGTCATAATAAGATCTCTAATTTTTATTAACTATATTGATTCTTCTTTTATTTCTGTTTAGTTGTTCTAAATCTCTACTAATATTTCTTATTATAGCATTGCTATCTGTATATATTTCTATTTGCTTTTTCTTTAATACTATTAAGAATGCTGTTTATATTGCTACTAACTCAGCTATTGTCAATGTTTGTTATTCTTTTAGATCTAGTACTAACTCTTCTTTAGGTCATTTTTGTATTTTATTTGTTTAAACTTATTCTATGTTTATACTATCTTTAATTGCTATATTTTTTTTAGTCTTTACATTTGCTACTCTATCTGTATATATTATATACTTGTTCTTGTTTTTTGTTATATTTCTTTTCAAAACTTTTATTATTTCTTGAATAATGTTCTCTTTTAGCTTTTGTCATTTGATAACCTCTATTTCTAGTTCTTTTATTATTTTTAGTCTCTTAAGTCTTTGTTCTTCAATTACTAACTTGTTTATCTTTATTATTTCTGTTATTTGATCTATTATTATCTTGATTTTGTTGCTATTTTTTTTTATCAATATGTTTAAGATCATATTAATTTTGTTGTTTATTTTTATTCATTACTAGCAATATCTTCTAACTGTTCTTCTTTTCTTATACAATTCTTATATTTGTTAATTCACTTTCTTACTTTATATTTGCCAATATTTTATTATTATTTTTTTCTTTTTTTTTAATTATCTTTCCTAACTGTTAATAATTTTGTACTCTATAAGTTATTTATATTTTTTTCTTTTATCTTCTGAAATATACTTTCATCTCATTTGTATTATTAAATGTTTTATCTATTTATTCTAAAATATTTTTTGATTTTTCTGCTTTCTGATATACTAAGTACTTTTAGTTTTATTACCTTGAACTATATTAGTTTTTTTTTTGCTTGATAGGTTTTGGTAACTTTTTAGCTATTGCTATATAATTAACCTCTTTTCTTTTGTATTAAATAACTGATTTAGATATATTAAGTCTGCTTTGTTTATTCTAGTTCTATTGCTTTTTTATAACTGAGCATTTACAAGCTTTTTTATTTTAATTTCATATTTAAGTATTGTTTTTTTATCAATTTATAAATTTATAAAAAATATTTTAATTATATAGTTTTTAATTTATAACTTTTGGGATGTGGTAACCTAGTAAAGTGGTCAGGTTGTCAACCTTCAAGTGGTAGGTTGGGTGTTCAAATCCCATCAATGCCAAAAATTTGGATAATTATTTATATAATATTCATATTATAGCAACTGTTACTAACAATTGGGTTAGGATACCTGTAATGGCATCTGTGCAATATTGGAGTTATACAGAAGAATGCAAACTAACAAATCAGGCAGTACAAACACTAGATAAGTTCTTGTAACTGTATAAATCTATTGAAATTAAGTAACAAGAAGTTCATTTAGGAAGACCCAAGTAGAGAAATAGCTAAATCTTCAATGGCCCTACTATAAAGGCTAGTCTAATGAAATGAATACCAAGAACTAGTACCTGATTATAATAGCTGGACAGGCAAGAACCTTTGAGTTGGAAGTCTCAGAGGTACCACCAATCAGGCTGCCAGAATGAACTAAAGAAAAAGGATATCAGACCAACCTAATATACCGATGGACTGGTCATAGTTCTACAAAAGCTATCTGGATTGAATGTTTGATAAAAAGGTAAGAGAAAAGACAAAGGTATACTAAAGTATCAGAGTTATGCTGTGAAGTAGATGCTGAAGTCTAAGTGAACTCTACAAAGACATAGCAATTTAATGATTAGCTCTGATTGCAAGTATTGGTTCTGTCATAGCAATACCTAGATTAGCTATAAAAATAAGTACAGAAGATTCTGAAGGGTTTATCTTAAGGATAAATTAGTTCTAAAGTTAAGATGATGATCTGGGCATCTGGGTATAACCCAGTAAGTTAACACAGGTTACAGATTTAGAGAGTTTAAAGTAGAACATCCAAGCAGAAGTATTAGATATAACAATTAATAAAGAACCTTTAGATAGACTCCTTAAATAGGTAATATAGAAAATTTACACATGTATCTAATTGTATACTTTCCTGTAGTAGTTCATTGAACCACAACACTAATAAGTGATTAATAAAAATCAAAAAACCAAAGAGGTCATCTTAATACTAAACAAAAAAAAAATTTATAACTTTTATAAAATATAGTAACTTAGGAAATAGACTAGTTGTTAACTTTCAAGTGGCAGATCTAAGATTCAATTCTTACAGATAATTAATTTTGGAAATTTTATTTGTGTTATAGTGTTTTTTGTAAATTAGTTAGGTTATGCATCTGTAATCTTAGATATACCAGGTTAGAACTCATCTAATTTTGAAAGCTTAAGACATCTATATAAAATGTAATATTATATATATAAAGGAATATGAAAAATCAGTATTGTATA